TCATTCATGGTTAAGAAGACACAGTTCTGCCCTTATCCCATGGGGTCGTGCTCAACCTAGAACTGGTTTACCTGGAATCTATGCTGTATAGACAGACATTATTGAGTACCTCTCTTATGCCACACTTGTGTGAGAATGTCCCCGAGTCTTCCTTTAATTCATTAATATATTCAGTCAGTATATTCACCCAAGACCTGCTATAGGCAAGGCCCTGTGCTAGGTTCTGCTACTGATACCTAAATGAACAAGAAGCTGTCTCTGACGCCAAAATATTAAGAGAACAGATGAGATGTCCTGAAACCATCCAACCACAAGTGATAAGGACCGTTAGAGATGTGTGGATAACACGCTCAGACAGTTGTGAGGAGGAGATATTTTTCTGTCTGGGAAAGCCTTCCTGGGAAAGAAGTATTCAGCTTGGTCTTGAAAATCAAATAAAGTTTGAATATGAGACAAGAAAGAACAGCCTCTTAGACAAAGATACGGCATGAAAAAGCGCAGAGGTGTGTGTGTGCAGCGCATAGTTGAAAATGAAGTCATTCAGTCTTGCCAACATGCGGAATTGGTGAAGAGCTGGAGGCTCTGCCCTCAGAGGTAGGTGTTCAGAGTCTTGCGGAAGGAGGGCTAAAATACAGAGATGAAGGCAAAGATGGCAGACTCTGGGCCAAAGACATGTCCCATTTGGCCACGATGCTGTCTTAAAAATTTCAGCTAATTTTGAAAACAAGGAGATTTCACACTAAAAATACAGATTTCTAGTTTCTCCTAAAAATTTGAAAGGAAGATCTGGGAAAAAAAGAAAGAAAGAAAAAAAGAAAGAAAAAGAAACACATTTCTTCAGGACAGCAGTTGGCTGAGGCAGAGGCTCTGTAAGATGTGAGTTTTCCTCCATCGCAAAAGCCCAGCTTGTTTCTCTCCTGCCTGCCCATTTACTCCACCCTGCAAGCATCTGTGTAGAGGACCCTTGTCCTGCCACAGGTATAAACTCAAGCAAATCTAACATGGAAACCCCACGGAGGAACCCCAAGGGGCTGACTCTCGCATGTGTTGGTTCTCAGTGTTCTGTAACCCTCCCTTTCTAGACTCTTCTTCTTTAAAATCTCAGCAGGCACAACTCTCAAAACGATGAGACAGAAGTGTCTGAAAGCATCTCCAAGAAACAGCTCATGCAAGCTATTGGGATTGGAGGTGTGAACCAAACACCACCAAAGTGTGGGGTGGGCCAAGCGGACTTTGCGTTCTTGATTTTCAGATCAATCAGAAAACTCACATAACCCCACTCTGGACTTTTGCTCCTACTCTGCCAGGCTCGGCCTTGAAGATTTATTAAATGGATTCTTCCTTTTCTCGTGTCTACAGTCAGCTCTTTCTTTCTGATTCACGGCTCATCTCAAAGTCCCTGCTGGGGACTCCTCTGTTGGTGACAAGAATGGTATACAGTTGAACTTCTATAGCTGCCGGTTCTGCATTCTCAGTGTCAACCAAGCACGTGTGGGCCATGGTGTGTCACTGCTGTCGGGTACTATGTAGGTAGACCTGTGATGACTTGGTTTCTTTGCTGAACGGGCCATTTTTTCTTGTTGTTATTCGCTCAATAAATACAGTATAACCACTATGTACGCTGTATTAGGTATTATCAGTGACATAAAGATGATTTAAAGTATACAGGAGGGGTTCTACGCAAACGCTCTACCGTTTTATATTGGTACATTTTGGAATCTGAGGGTGAGAGAGAGTCCTGGAACCAATCCCCTGTGGACACTGAGGGACCACCATACCGATGTCTGAACAAAACTGGATTCCTCATCAGGACAGAAAATCCACAGAAGTGCAAATCCTCTGCTGGAGTAACGAGGGAAGCTGTCGCAGTAACATCTGGTCCTAGGGCACCAGGAGACCTCACCATTTAGCCCCTTCGTGGCAACACTAATGAATTAGGAGGTCGGTTTGGTAATTCCTAAGGCTAAGCCCATTTAACTATAAATAAATACATAGAATGAAAGGAATGCAGCAAAGGAAAACAAACAGAGGGGAAAAGGAAATGAAAAAGCTGACTTGATTTCATTGAGAAAATTAGTTGAAAAATGCATCCTGTGTAGCAATTTCTTTAATGCCTCATTATACAAACTCCCAGGAGAATGCTTCCAAGCCTGATGTCCCCTGTGCCAGACCTTGAGCCTCTTGGGCTGAGGTTCAGGAGTTGTGGGAGGTGGAGTGAGGAGGGTAAAAAGGGATTCAAAAGTACTTATGTCAAGCAGGAAGAAAAAGCCTTAATGAACCACAGAACTGGAGACTGTAAGGTACAGCTCAGTCAGCACTTTCCTCCGAGGAGAGAACACAGACTTGGCATGAAAGCCACCCGAGCAATGGGTCAGGGCAGAGAATGTCCCCAAGCAGAAGACTTCCAGCTCCCTGGTCTTTCAGCCCTCAGGACACAGATCGCTGCCCGCCCTGGAGGGGTCTGACCAGATGCAAAGCATAGGTCCCATTTAAGTGCCATTTGTGGACCCATGTGAATTAGATGGTAACCTTGGGAATGCTGGAATCGAGGGGAGGTTGTGTGTTGTTGGCTTTTTCCCCCTGTGGTTTTCACCATCTGTTTCTTTGAATGCATAAACAAGAAAAATGACTGGTTTGGAATGCAGAGTTTTTTAAAAAACCAGATGACCACAGGCATCCTCTAAATGAGAAAGAAAGAACAAGTTGGGGTTTTGTGACATTTGTCAGGAAGTGAAATGTTAAATACCGGGAAGCGTCAACGCTCCCTGCCAGGGAAGACCTAGGAAGGTAGCATTGTTTGGGATCCTACCTTTCTGAGGCTGTGCCCTCTGTTTATACTTCACTGAGTGCTATTTTCAGACACCAGCACCACACCCTCTACCTCCCTGCCCCACTCCCTTTTTAAAATGAAAGATGAACAGTTAAGCTGAACTGGAGCACACCCAGTCTCGGTTTTCCATTCGCATTATTACCAAGCTGGCACCCTTGGGAAGAATTCTCTCTTAGAAACTTTTAGGCTGAACAAAAGCTACGTTGTGAACAGGTTCTCTTATAAAACCAAAATAGAGGGCTATAAATAGAGGGGTTGATAAGATAGATTAAGAGAGGATCTTCATTTCTCTCCTAGACAATAGTGAATGCAAGAAAAAAAAAAACAATTATAAGGGTATTAAGAGCACCGTGTTTTTCTTTAGCAAGGGGCTTCTGCTTTAAAAAATAAGATTTGCTATGCACAATACATGGCCACTCTATAAAATGGCTCTATACGCTCCATGCCAACAAGCCTTAAAGCAATAGCTTCCTTTTTAAACCCAAGATAGTAGAGAGACTTGATGGAAATGTTGACTGCATACTAATCTCTTTTACTTTCTTTGCAAGAAATAATCAGTTGTAAGCACTAGGGATTTAAAACCAAATTTAACTCCAACAATTCAAGGCCCCTGGGGAGAAGGGCATTGGGGCAATTGGCAGAGTTCCATGCCTTTCGGGGAGCATTTTTCACATAGTTCTGTAGGCAGCCTGACGCCAGAGTTTTCACATTAGAGAAAGGATTAAGGATGATGGTTACTTAGGAAACAACCAAGTCTTCCTAATTTGCAATGTCTGTCTTCAGAGATGATGTGGGCACTGTTAGTAATTCCGGGCTTGGAGTTAAGCAGAAATGAGTCCCTGGGGATGCACAAGTTTTCGGAGGATTAAATGTATTTCAAAACGAGTTAAATTCACATCATTTCTCTACCCATGTGTAGGATATCAATGAAGTGTGTCGATATGAAATTAGGAGACTGGACTTCTGACACCCCTTGGACATAGGTACCGCCGGGGATGTTTGATTCCCTGGTGGAAATGGGGAAAAGATTGGAGATCAGAGGTCAGGAGACCTGAATGAACTCCCTTACTCAGTATTTCATTCGTTTCATAAACCTGATGGAAAGCTCCTGGAGGATTCTAAGGAGAGAACCGTTTGAGCCCTGTAAAAGAACTCTCATGATCCGTGGCATTTTAGTTATAATCATAACCATGTCAGATGAAGAGCATACGGGGGAAAGGATGAGAAGAATTTTAAGTGGCTGAACTCTATTTGCATTGTTCATGTTACAAATAGTTCAAAGTCTTAAAAAAAAAAAAAAAAAAAAAAAGGAAGAGAGAAAAGAAAAGAAAAAGAAATTCAGTGTGCTGTGGTTTGGATGCTCCAATGGGATCACCAAGGATTTTTCATAACATTCAAATGAACCTCCCTTAAGTATATTTTGGATTTTCATCTGACCAACTTTGAGATGCTTTTCTTACCATGAAGAAGGGTGACAGAGATATTTCCAGTGGGGAAGACAGTGGTAATGCAAGGCTGACCCACATGGGAAGGTTCTGGATTCATGTGAAGCATCTTCCTGAGTATGCCAGGCACACGTATGCCCAGGATCTGGGTCCACCCTGAGCCTGGGAGAGATCATAGTGTTAAGATCCTATTGGGATGCTATCTCTCTCTCTCTCTCTCTTTTTCTCTGTGTGTGTGTGTGTGTGTGTCTTTCATAAATAAATACACTTTAAAAAGAGAGTAAGGGGCCAGCAAGTGGCACAGTAGTTAAGGTGCTGGACTCCCATGTGGCTGACCATGGCTCAAGTCCTGGACCTGGCGGCTTGCTCTCTCTCTCTCGGTGTGTGTGTGTGTGTGTGCGTGCGTGTGTGTGTGTGTGGTCAAACTGAAGAAGAACAAATAAAATTAAATAAATAATTCTTTAAGGAAAAAAAGAGGGAGCGAGCACAAGATTTCACAGGCTTGTTCCTCATTGGATTTAACAGAGATCTGAAAGTTTAATAACTTGGTATCTCCTTGACTCCTCTCTTTTCTCTCTTCCTTCTTTCTTCAGTTTCTTTCTCTCTCTTTTTTGATTTCCCCTTTTCAGGGGAAGAGATGAGGGATGAATGCTTGATTATGACACAAGGAGACTCAGTGCCAGCCTGGACTTGGGATTTCATACCCTGTGTCTTCTTGCCCACAGGTGATAACCCCGGTGAGGACCGGCCATGGCTATGTGTATGAGTATCCGTCCAGATACCAAAAGGACGTCTACGACATCCCTCCTTCCCACGCCACTCAAGGGGTAGGTGCCAGGAGCCTGGTCACCAGGGAGAAGCGCTCTTCTGGGTTGCATTCCTTCAGGGCTGTCGAGGGAAGGTAGCTCATTAATTATGCATATTTCATATGAAGCTTTGTTTAGGTGGTTTCTCCGGTATCCATTTTAACAATGTTAGTTAAATTCTGCTTTCTGGATTTGTTTTATCAGAAAATCATCTTTCATCAGGAGTACAAAATTCAAACTACAGTTTAAAGTACAGACAGTATAGATATTTCACTGAAGATCTTTTCTTTTTTCTTTTTTTTTTTTTTTTTTTTTGAGTTTTTTATTACAGGGTTTGTGTGCCTAAAAGCTACAGGGTATGTGTGCTCAACAGAGAGAGACAGAAAGTGAGAAATCAGGGGAGATGGCTACCCTGCAATCGCTTCTCCTCCATTCTCCTCTCAGGATCTTGGGTTCGCACACACATGCACCTGATGAGCTTTATGCACCCGCTGGGTCCAGGCTCGAACTGTGGTCAACTATGCGAGAGTCCAGCGACATAACCATTGCACATCTGCTGGTCTTAAGATCTCTCTCTATTTTTTTTTTTAACTGTGAAGGTTTGGAGAAAGGAGGCCCCCCAATGGGACACAATCATCCTGCAGTCTCTTCTCCATTCCTCCAATCCCATGAGGATATGGAGCACGCATGCACATGTGGCATTTTTTAAGCTGCTAAGGCTGGGATCTGAACCACAAATGTCCATGTAGGATCCTGCTTCCCTTAACCATAAGGCGACAGGGCCAGCCCAAGATCATTTTTATATTCGACCCAAATCAAAGAACATAAAATTTATAAAGGAAAATTCTATCAACCCCATATGACATGGAATGCTGCCAAAGACTGAGATTGTACACAACCTAGTAAATAAATCCATAATAAACTGCTTAGTAGTGTAAAAAAAAATGACTAGCATAAAACATCTCCATTCTGGATAACTGTTGTGTTTCTCTCCAGGTGTACGACATCCCTCCCTCATCAGTAAAAGGCCCTGCGTTTTCAGTTCCAGTGGGAGACATCAAGGCTCAAGGGGTATATGATATCCCTCCTACTAAAGGGGTGAGTGAGCTACACACAGCAACAGAAAAGGTGTGTGTGTGTGTGTGTGTTTACTGGGGTACAACAATTAGGGCAGACCCAAAAGAGGAAGAACGTTTCGATAGACAGTAAGTAAAGAAGGGGCAAAAGTCGATTATTAAAGACAACTGGAGGGACTCCATATTTAGGGACCTCCACCGGAAGGAAAAATAAAAAGAAGAAGAAGTCCATAAGGAGAGCCAAATGGAAGAGCAGATGATTAGTTTGGTTTGGCAAGGACTAAGAGAGCCCAGGTTTAAAGAGGGGTCACAGCTTGCTCAGTCTGCATGTACAGGCTACCTCGCCTGATTCACTGTTGCCCTCTTGGGGGTTGTCTGCACAGGAAGTAGTTACCCATAATTGACAGATAAGAGGTCTGTGTCTCCAAACTCTCAAACAAGTCATTCAGTGTCACACAGCTGCCATGGTGACCTGGGAAACCCAAGAGAGACCTCAGGTCTCCTGACATCCTGTACAGGGTGTTCATGTGCCATCTGTCTCTTGGCATAGACCACACAAGGAAGGATACCCAGGACGTGGTTAGCAGCCCAGAACATACCCACGGTGGGCTTCTCAGCCAGGGGACTCTCCCCCATCAGCCCTGAGGCCAGGGGGATGGATGCACTTGTCAACGGAGGAGGAAGGCGAGATCTTCTCTAAAGAAACTTGGGGGAAACCTACTGTGCATGGGTGAAAGGTGAAAGAAGAGGGGTTGGCAGACAGGCCTGAGAGTTCTAGGCTGCATTTTTTTTTAAGAATTATTTTTATTTTAACTTTATTTATTATGATTATTTTCCAATTTGATCAGAGAGAGAGTGAGGGAAAGTGAAAAAGCAAGCCATCAGGCCCAGGAGTTGAACCGTGGTCGGCCATGTGGGAGTCCAGCACCTTTAACCACTCTCTCACCTGCCAGCCCCTCTGGGCTGCATTTTAATGTACTGCTCATTTTCTGGACATTGCATGAGCCAACTGAACAAACACAGATGCTCCTCAACTTACAATGAGGTTATGTCCTGATAAACCCATTGTAAGCTGAAAATATAAGTTTAACAATGGGCATTTTTATAGACACAGTGGTGTCTATAAAATATCCAACAGATGCCAGCAGAACAGGACAGGTGGGGTACTGGTTGTGGGCCCTCAGGGCCAATGGCTGCATGGGAGCTGCAGATCACTGCCACTGCCTGGCACCCCAAGAGACATCATGTGGCGTACACCTAGCCTAGGAAAAGATTCAAATTCAGAAGTCGAAGTCTGGTTTCTACTGAATATGTATAGCTTTTGCACCATTATAAAGTTAAAAAAAAAAAGTCAACCCATTATAAGTTGGGGACTTTCAATAACATTTCACTTTCTACTTAATTTTCAGGTATATGCCATTCCATCCTCTGCTTGCCGAGATGAAGCAGGGCTGAGGGAAAAAGAATACGATTTTCCCCCTTCCATGAGACAACCAGGGAGGCTGAACATCAGACCAGAAGGGGTTTACGACATCCCCCCAGCCAGCACGAAGCCAGCAGGGAAAGACCTTCACGCAAAGTTTAGCTGCGATGTTTCAGCGGTTGAGTCAGTGGTGCGAAGGCACCAAAGCCTTTCCCTGAGCCACCCACCCCCACAACTGGGACAGTCACTGGGCACTCAGAATGATGCCTATGACATCCCCCGAGGAGTTCAGTTTCTTGAGCCACCTGCAGAGCCCAGTGAGAAAGCAAGCCTGGAAGAAAGAAATGGTGTTTACGATGTCCCTCTGCATAACCCACCAGACGCTAAAGCCCCCCGGGACGTGGTAGATGGGATCAACCGACTGTCCTTCTCCAGTACAGGCAGTACCAGGAGTAACATGTCCACATCTTCCACCTCCTCGAAGGAGTCCTCACTGTCGACCTCCCTCTCTCAGGACAAAAGGCTCTTACTGGATCCAGACACTGCCATCGAGAGACTTCATCAGCTCCAGCAAGCCCTGGAGACGGGTGTCTCCAGCCTCATGATGCTGGTCACCACGGACTGGCGGTGTTACGGATACATGGAAAGGCACATCAACGAGATCCGCACTGCGGTGGACAAGGTGGAGCTCTTCCTCAGAGAGTACCTCCACTTCGCCAAAGGAGCCGTAGCAAACGCTTCCTGCCTCCCTGAACTCATCCTCCACCACAAAATGAAGCGGGAGCTCCAGAGAGTTGAAGACTCTCACCAGATTCTAAGCCAAACCAGCCATGACTTAAATGAGTGCAGCTGGTCCCTGAACATCCTGGCCATCAACAAGCCCCAAAACAAGTGTGATGATCTGGACCGGTTTGTGATGGTGGCCAAGACGGTGCCCGACGACGCCAAGCAGCTGACAACATCCATCAACACCAACGCAGAGGCCCTCTTCAGATCAGGCCCCAGCAGCTCACAGCTGAAGAATGGACCTGAGAACATCATGAACTCAACGGAGTACCCACATGCAGGCTCCCAGACACAGCTGCTGCATCCTGGTGACCACAAGGCCCAGGGCCACAATAAGTCACTGCCCCCAAACCTGGGCAAGGAGCCACCTCCTGACTGCAGCAGCAGTGATGGCTCTGAGAGGAGCTGGATGGATGATTACGATTACGTCCACCTACAGGTAAAGACGCCATACTAGTAAACACCTCATTCATACTGTGGGAACTGGGGTTAATGCCTACCAGGCTGTTCGGCTGAACTATTATGGCTAATCGAAGGGGTGTACAAGCTGGAGGTGATGGTATGTGTGGAAAGGACACTGGACAAAGAGTCCTGAGTCCTTGGCTCTAGTTCCTTCTCTAATATTAGCTGTGTGACCAACTTATTTAACCTCCCTGGACCTTAATTCCATTTGCAAAATATATTTCATCCAGGGTTGGATTATTTCATTGATATGCCTCAGGCAGGCAGGAAGAGACTCACCAGGTAGGATAGTGGGCCTGCTAATGATCACCTCAGCTACACTCTGTAATGTATGATAGAGATCCAGATCATAGCTTATTGGAAAAATTAAAATTAAAAAAAAAAAAAAGTTTCACTGGTTTAAAAAAAATTGAAAACCTCTGTACTTAGAGAATGTCTAAGATCCCCTCTAGCTCTATTGTGTGTGTGTGTGTGTGTGTGTGTGTAATTACTTGACACTTGGCCCCCCGTGGACTTACCTAGAGGACTTGTCAACTGACCTAGAGTTTAACTTAAATGGGAAATGGTTTGGTGGGTCTGCCTCCTGCAAGTGGTGATTCCACCAAGCACCATGTTGCCTTGAGATCCTGACAGCCTGCCCTTCCAGTTTGAGGGATTAAAACACTCCACCTGGGACCAGCAGATGGCATAATGGTTACATTGCTGGACTCCATGTAGTTGACTGGGTTCGAGTTTCGGAACTGGTGGCTTAAAACTCACATCGGCTGTGTGTGCGTGAGTGCCCCAAATCCCAAGAGAATGGAGGAGAAGGGATTGTAGCATGGCCATCCCCGCTGGGGGGTGATTTCTCACGTTCTCTCTCTCTCTCTCTCTCTCTCTCTCTCCAGTGAGTGCAGCAAGTGCATGTGCCCTATAGCAAAAATCTTTCTAAAAAACAAAAAAAATACTCCACCTAGATTCATTATGTAGAATTTGACTTACTGTCTTATTCTGCCATTCTTTTAACTGACTGAGAGCCAAGGATTATACTGAGAACTACTGAACTGCCAGATGCCCTTGACTGCAAAGGAATGGGTGAGGGATAGCAGACTGGGGCACTGAGCATTGGCCTTATTGGTTGTCCAACTCTGCACACTGAGAAATACTAATTTGGAGTAGAGATCCCTAGATAATTTGAAGAAACAAGAAATAAAACATAAACCACATTTAGACCTGTGCTTGGAGGTTTGTGTTCATATATAATTTATCAGTCAAGAACTCTGAGAAATAGTTCATAAGGTTTGAAGGGGGACCAGCAGTTGGCGTAATGACTATGTCGCTGGACTCCCACATAGTCCACCGCAGTTTGAGTCCCGGACCCAGAGGCTTGAACTCCCACCGGGCGTGTGTGTGTGTGTGTGCCCAAGATCCCAAGAGGAGAATGGAGGAGAATGGATTGTCGTGTGGCCCTCCCCCCTGAGGAGTCATTTCTCATTTTCTGTCTCTCTATCTCTCCTCCTGGTGAGTGTATGTGCCCTATAGCAAAAACCTCTCCAATAAAAAGGTTTGAAGGGGATTGCGGGTAGTTCTCCGTGTATAGTAAATCAGAGCAGAAAGCATGGCACCACCTGGAAGGAAGCTTTAGATTTCAGCCTCATCCTACGCAGTAACTCTGGAGGTTTGGCCAAGAAGTGTGCCATCCTTCTCTGGGGTTCACAGGGCCTAATTGGGCATGTAGGAAATTGCCGAGGCAGTGGAAAATGAGAGTATTTACCTGTTTGTCAATGACATTGTCAGCGTTATGTGAATCACAGTGATGATGTAATGTACTCTTTATGTTGAAAAATAATAGGGTAAAGAGGAGTTTGAGAGGCAACAGAAAGAGCTGTTGGAAAAAGAAAATATCATCAAACAGAACAAGATGCAGCTGGAACACCATCAGGTATGTTCAGTCAGGACAAAATCTACTCAGTGTTGAAAAGATTTCCCATTTAGTAGGGAAGGTATAACTTCAAAAGATTGCAGTTTTGATCCCTGCATGAGCTCTAGCACGTATAATAGGGATACAAACAAAGAAAAGGTTTTGGCTTTGTCAATCCAGCTGGGTATACCTGGATTACATCCAAATGGCAATTTTTTTTTCAGACTAAGCCTGTACATCTAACGTATTGGAACTATTTAGGTTAAGACTTTTGGTCTCAGGGCTGGCGGGTGGCGTGGTGGTTGAGGTGCTGGCTGACCACAGTTCGAGTCCCGGTCCTGGCATCTTCCTTTCTTGCTGTCTCTCTTTCTCTCTCTCTGCCTGTCTATAATAATAATGGGGCTGCCAGGTGGCATGGTGGTTAAGGGTGCTGGAATCCCACATGGCTGACCATGATTTGAGTCCCAGACCTGGCGTCTTCCTTTCTCGCTTTTCCTGTCTCTCTCTCTCATTCTGTCCCTCTCTGGTCAAATTAAAATAAATAAAGTTAAATAATTCTTTAAAATAATAATAATAATGACAAATAAAATTAGATAAATAATTCTTTTAAAAAGTAAAGATTACTTTTGGTCTCAAGAAACAAGACCCACTCAAGTTAGCCGAAGCAAACAAGTTTTATAATAAGGCCAGAGTAAAGAAATTCAAGAATAGAAAATGAAGAGATGGCAAGTCTGCTGAGAACCAGAACCATAAATTATTTCTCTTTCCTGTGCTTCCTTTGCTTCTTTCTCTAAATCTGTTTCATTTTCCATTATTTTCTGACATTTTCTCTGCTTACCTACTCATTTGGCCCCCCTGTAACTTTACGAAACCCATGAATGGCTACTCAAATCCCTTTCTAGAGATAGTTTTTCATCCCAGCTCCCTCAGCTAATAGCTCCTGCCAGTGGCTCATCAAACGAGAGTCTGACAGGTGCTCTCTCTCTTTCTGCCATCTCCACATCTACCCCTCTTTGTATTTCTGTCTATCTCTCACCAGCAAGACATGCCAATGGTGTGGCTGTTCTTGGTCCAAACTAAGAGTAGGATGGTAGGATATGATTCCAGATTTATCCAAGCCCATTTACCAAGGACTTTGGGCAGGGCATGTTTATTCAAAAGTTCAGTATGAGTGGGACAGATAATGATTGGTATTATTAGGACAAGGGCATAAAAATAAAGAAAAATGGATTAAGGATTTATAAGCCTTCTAAGAGGAGATGAAATGAAATCACATGTAACATGAAATGGCATGCTGTATTCAGGAAACCTGAGTTCTAATCCTTGTTTTCTGGCCAACCAACCACATGACCTTAGGCAATTCACACAATCTCCCTGAACTTCAGTTATTTCTCTATAAAATGGGAAAGTATCCCCCTCTTCCACTGAATGAGGTGATATATTGATGGACATATTTGCAAAGGCATATGCTGTGTGGAATACAACTCATTATTATTCAGAACCTTGGAATATCACCATGGACCCCTTCATGTTTGCCTTGGTATTTCGCCAAGTAGGGCTGTAAGGCTTTAGGGAACTTGTTAAAAACCACAGTCCCTCCTAAGAAGAAAGCAGCAGATTTCACTGAAAAGAAAAGCTGACTGTGATTTTCTCAGGGGAGAAGCTGGTGAGGTTATCCTTACTTCAAATCAGCCCTACCTGGGGGTGGTAGATTAACTGAGTTCTAAGATAGGGTTGCACATATCCTTACCTTCAAAAGAGAGATCTCTCCTGAGCTTTCGTGGAATAGCTAGACATTATTATAATTGAAATTTAAATAATACACCTGTCAGGGGCAATAAGGCAAGAAGGAAAGAAAGTAAAGCCTCATTGAGTCTGACTCTATACAAAACCCTTTTCTTTTAACAAATCTTGAGGGAGCGGGGGGGGGGGGTAGGGAAAATGAGAAATGAACCCCTGGTGGGGGGGCTCCATGTCACAATCTCCATTCTCCTCTCGGGATTTTGGGCACACACACACACACCTGTGTCTGGAGTAATTTTCAAGCCACTGGGTCTGGGACTCGAACTTCACTGCTGGTAACATGGGATTAAGCACCTTAACTTCCGTACCACCTGCCTACCTCCCATTTTGAATCCCAGACACAGTGGCTTTTAAAAAATTTTGGGGGGGGGGGGGGGGGGGGGCGCTACATATTATGATGCACAATTAGTATTCAGGTTTCCTTAGAGATGTCTTCCTCCATGATCGCACATAAATTTACGTGTATTCATCTTCCCCACTATGCTGGATTATAACATAGCTATACATCACCACAGAAAGAACAGGAGAAATAGCAAAGGTCATGAATTGTCATGGCACCTACCCATCTTAGAGATATCAAGGCTTAGCCCCTCAAAAAGGCAAACCGTTAGTGGTTTATTTGACAAAAGGCTATCTACATTTGGGTTTTCCTTGCCACCACTCAACATTTCATAACATTACATAGAGTCTGCTATATACCAAACACTAGTCAAAGCACTCTGTAAACATCAAGTCCTTTAACCTTCATAAAGTTGTACACAGCAGGGTTCAGGTTTAAACCTATGCTGCCTTCCAGTCAGAAGACACAGAGACCAATGGTCCAGTCACAGAGGCCTGAGCTGGAAGATTCCTTAGGGGTCATCTCTCCTAACAGCTATACTTTCCACTTCAGGAAAGCAAGGCAACTTGAGTACGTTCTCACTGCTAATTAGCATCTGACACTTAATAAGGATTAAAATCCCTCCTTCAACTCCTGGCCCAGGTTACTTTCCACTACAACACTGCCTTGCCCTCAATGAAATCTACTTTTGTCTTCCCCTCCAGCTGAGTCAGTTCCAACAGCTGGAACAAGAAATCACAAAGCCGGTGGAGAATGACATCTCCAAGTGGAAGCCCTCTCAGAGCCTCCCCACCACAAACAGCAGCGTGGGCGTGCAGGACAGGCAGCTGCTTTGTTTCTATTATGACCAATGCGAGACCCATTTCATTTCCCTTCTCAATGCCATTGACGCCCTCTTCAGTTGTGTCAGCTCAGCTCAGCCCCCACGAATCTTCGTGGCACACAGCAAATTTGTCATCCTCAGCGCGCACAAACTGGTGTTTATTGGAGACACACTGACAAGGCAGGTGTCTGCTCAGGACATTCGCAACAAAGTGATGAACTCTAGCAACCAGCTGTGCGAACAGCTCAAGACTATAGTTATGGCGACCAAGATGGCCGCCCTCCACTACCCCAGCACCACCGCCCTGCAAGAAATGGTACACCAAGTAACAGACCTTTCTCGAAACGCCCAGCTGTTCAAGCGGTCTTTGCTGGAGATGGCGACATTCTGAAAAGAAGAGGATAGAAAGGAGACTGAGTTAATGATTACTAAGGGAAACTGGAAATATTATCTGCTTCTTGTAAATATTATCTATTTTGTAGATATTTTATATGAAAAGGAAATATTTTAACATTTTATGGGTTAGACTACCGAAATTCAGGGAGCTGGAGAGGGAAATCTTTTGTATTTTTCCTCTGTGTGGTTCTTATGTAAACATATTAGTATCTAAGATATAAACTGTACAGAAACTTGTCCACATGCTTGTGTATACCTATATATTTGTATTTGTTTGTAGATGCTTGTCTGATACATTCCATTAAAAAAAGAAAAACATGAATTAAGAAGTACCTTAGTAAGCACCTCCTGATGCTCCATTGTTTTTGGTGGTTTTTGTTGTTGTTTAGAAAATATACCAGCTAGTTGTAATATTGCTCTACATGTACTGGCAATTATTCTGAGAGTGGTACTCCCAAATCTGGAAAGTTGGGTATATTTTCAAGTGTTCACTTCCTAAATAATGAGGCATGATATACCTTACTTTTGTTTTGAGAGGCCTTCCCAAAATTGACCTGTCATGAACACATTATAGCAAAACGCCCCCCTTCCAATTGCAAAGATACTCATGGAGAGCAAGTCTGAAAAGTACATATTAATTCCAGCTCTGATATTTCATAGACAAGTATCTTTAGAGGTCATGTCCAGAGTTAGGATTGGGTTGTTTCCATACTGAGAGGAAGCTACAATGAAAAGAGAACACTCATTTCCCCAGGGCTGTTTAATTGTCTGCATTTGTGAGTGCTTCAGCCTTGAGATTTTCCTAAGTACGCTTTTAGAGTTGTAAAAAACATTATTTGAGGACCAGCAGATGGCATAATGGTTACATTGTTGGACCCCCCCACATGGACGACCATGGCTCGAGTCCTGGATCAGTGCCTCAAAACTCTCACTGGGTGCATGTGTGTGCTCAAAATCCCGAGAGGGATTGGAGGAGAAGGGGATTATTTCTCGTTTTCTCTCTCTCTATCTCTCTGTCTCTCTGGTAATCACACACCCTATAGTGAAAAAAAAAATCTCTCTTTAAAAAAATGGGAGCAGCAGGTGGTGTAATGGTTACATCACTGGACCTCATGTAGTCGACCGAAGTTCGAATCTTGGACCAGTGGCTTAAAACTGACCCTGGGCACCTGTATATGCATGCTCAAAATCCTGACAAGAGAATGGAGGAGAGGGGATTGTGATGTGGTCATCTCCCCTGGGGGGTGATTTCTCACTTTCTGTTTTTCTGTCTATCCGGCAAGCACATGTGACCTATAACAACAACAACAAAAAAATCTCTTTAAAAAAATATATTATTTGCAGCAGGGAATTCAAAAAGACACATAAGTCTACATCCATGAAAAAGAAGGGATCGGGACCAACAGTTGGTGTAATGGCTATGTCACTGGACTTCCATGTAGTCGACCATGGTTCGAGTCCCGGACCCAGTGGCTTAAACTCACGCTGGGCATGTGTGCATATGTGCTCAAGATCCTGAGAGGAGAATGAAGGACAAGGGATTGTGGTGTGTCCATCCCCCCGGAGGGCGATTTCTCACTTTCTGTCTCTCTGTCTCTCTCTGTCTTTCTGGCGAGTGCATGTGCCCTAGAGCCAAAACCTCTCCCAAAGAAAAGAAGAAGAAAGGATGGTTCCATCTCCCCATTATAAAAAGAGCCTTTTCTGATTCTTTACGTTTACTTAGGTGCTACTGCCCTCATCATCCAAGGGAAACCGAACAGTTCCCCAGTTACTTACAGCCGTCAGACCATCTCCTGCTAAGAGAATTCTCTGTTTGCTCTTGCATCCTGGTTGCTCACACATGCAGACCTGGTACTCAGAGCAGCTGTACAGACTCCGTCTAATCTTTACAGTTCCATGTGGCCAATGACTTTGGGCATAAAGCCCATCTCTACCTCACAGCTAGTCACAATGTCTACTCCACAGTCTGTCTCCTCACACCTGCTGGTGTTGACACGGCACAGATACACCAAGCCATCAGATTCATCATGGGGAGAATGAGACACTTCCTCCTAGTGGGAAAACGTGTTTTCCTATCACCAAGAGCATGTAATTGATGGTCTTTCGGTCCAGTTCGTAGCTAATGGTTTTATTCCAGCCTATTTGGAAATTTGTTTTCATTTGTAATATATACCTTGACTGCATTAAGCTTGTTTGTCTTGAGCCATTAAATCACTGAAACAAGAAGAGATTTAAGAAAGGAAAATGCATGATCTCAGTGTGATAAACTCGGTAGAAATTATCCTAGAAGTTTTTTTTCCACCCAAAACAACTGCTGTAGTGAATCTCAAAAGAAAAGTAAGAAATAATAAGGTTGTATATGACAAGTAAAGCAACAAGGAGGAAGGGGATTGCTGAAAATCAACATCTGAAGACATTAGAAAGTGTGTTCTTATAGATTTCATCATATAATGTGTATTTCTTATGAGATGACAGATTTTTTTTTAAGCTGACTAGAGACAGTTCACATTTTCAACACCAAATGGTCAATCTGTATTACCCTCTTTGCCATCTTGTATGTAAAGGCTGTTTTTGAATTATTAAATTTACAGATGTTTGTTTTCATAACCATCAGGTTTTCATTTCCATATCTCTCTGTTACAGAATTAAATAATGGCAGAAGACAGAATTAAATGACAGAATTAAATAATGACAGAATTAAATAAATAATGACCGAATTAAATCATTTTAATTTCATCAAAATTAAAACCTTTTACCCTTCTAAGGAGACCATTAAGAAAACAAAAATTCAAGCCACAGACTGGGTGAAAATGTTGCATTACATCTATCAGTCAAAGACACGTATTAGATAAATGAGAAAAAAATTGTTTTAAAATAATTATTTATTTTATTTATTATTATTTTAAAATTTGCTCTAGAGCACATGTACCACCAGAGACAGAGAATGAGAGACAGACAGAGAAAAACCTAGCCTCCAGGTCCAGGACTCAAATCGAGGTTGGCCGTGTGGGAGTCCAGCACCTTAACCACCACACCACCTGATGGTCCATAACTAAAATTTTTCAAGTGGACAAAAATTTTAAGAAGAAACTTCACAAAAGTAGACACATAAATGGACAAATAAAATATAATAATAATAATGAATAAAATTAAGTAATTTTTAAAAAAGAGCACAACGAATACGATGTCTATGAGCACTGTCCGACATTGCAGAACTTTCTTTTTCTTTTTTTTTTTTTTGGAGAGGTTTTTTGCTATAGGGCGCATGTGCTCGCCAGACAGACAGAGAGAAACAGAGAGATAGAAAGCGAGAAATCACCCCCCAGGGGGGATGGCCACACCACAATCCCTTCTCCTCCATTCTCCTCTCGGGATCTTGGGCATGCACGCACAAGCGCCCAGCGTGAGTTTAAGCCACCGGGTCCGGGACACGAACCGCGGCCGACTACATGGGAGTCCAGCGACATAGCCATTACGCTAACTGCTCCCCCCACCCCCGACATTGTAGAACTTTCTGCAATGATGTAAATATCTTATAATGTGCATGGTCCAATACGGTAAGCAATAGTCACATGCAGCTACTGAGCATCTGAAATGTGACCAGTGCAATTGAGGAACAGCTTTTAATTTGGGCTCATTTTAGTTCATTTGATTTATTACATTGTCTAGAATCCATGATGCGTTTTTACATAGGAAAGCAGAGAAAAGTACTTCATAACTTTCCAGACACCCCAATAAAAAGCACTATGTGGCTAGTGTCTACTACACGGGGTAGCATAGTATCTATATCTTCATTGTTATAGTAACTACGTGAATGTAAAATTTGTCAAGACTTATTACAATATGTGCTTAATACAGGGGCATTTTAATGTATGTAAGCATTACCTGAATTCAGTTGATTTTAAAACCAGGTAAAGCATTTTCCAAGGAACTCTGGTGTTCTATTTTTTCTTCAAGTTAATATTGTCATCAACTCACAGAAACATTGGAGGGCTCATAGAAAAAGATCAAATTGGAAAAATGAGCTTACTAAATCTAACAGGCTATAGCTTTAGAGTCAATACGGGCTACTTCATAAACCACCAGAAAGATAAATGCAGTCTCTCCAAGCCCTAGTCAATAAAACCCTGTCTGGGATTTAGATGTTTCCCCATAAATCCATTTACATTCTTCATAGTTTTTTAAGGAATTATAACAAAGAAATATTGTCATTCACCAGAGAACATGAAAAGCAATAAGGATTCATTTATTCTTTGAACATTTCCTGCTTGGCTGGCCAGAGCAGGCAAAGTGCTTTGCCTATCAATAAGCCAACAGCTGTCTCAGCCAGAGAAGTTCTCACAGCCTCATAGCTAGTGTCTGTCTCTTGTGTGTTCAGTAACGTGCTGTGTACAAAGCTCTCTGTGCTTGGCAACATGCTGTGTACTAAAAAGAAAGAAGGAAGGAAGGAAGGAAAGAAAGGAAAGAAGGAAGGAAGAAAGAAAATGAGAACTGGTTTCTGCCTTTGTTTGAGACACAAAGTAAACATATTCTTTAAACAACATAAGATGGATTATAGATAAATGCCTACTTGAAAGCGATAGGAAAAGACTGGAAGGTACAAGAATGAGAAAAGTCAGAGTTCTGGGCTGGTTAGAAACAGCCACATGCAAAGGGCAGGGCTGCAGAGATTGATCTTTAAGAAAGGGTTATAACTATTGTAGATGGAAGAGAAAAGCCTGGAAAGGCTCGCAGTCAGGAACAAGTCCTGCAGACATGGAGAGCTGGAGGAATGAGGGACTTGCTAGAATTATACCACATCGCAACTGGGGCTTTGCATTTTTGTACCTTCAGAGAACTGCATATTTAAGATAAGCATACCAAATATTTGCTGGCTAACTCAAACTGAGCATTAGGCAACATCGTATCCTTCCAAAGAGAAAGGAGAGAGAGAGAGAGAGAGAAAGCAGAAAGGGGGTGCCAGAAGAGACAAGAGAGATAATAATTACAATGAAGATTGTGACAGGATGAAAGGAGGCAGATGGAGAAAGGAGAGAAGGACAGGGGTAGAAAAAGGGGGAGGGGACAGTAGAGAGAAGTAGAGAGCAGAGAATAGAGACAGAAAGACACCTGACACAGAGGTATTGTAAATAAAGCTGAAACAACTGAAGTAAGAGAAGCAGAAAATAGAATGGTAGTTATGGAGGCAGGACTGGGGTGGGAATGGGAAGTTGATAGTCAAAAAATATGAAGTCTCAGACAGGAAAAAAAATTTTTTTTGCCTTTTTCCTTTTTATTGCACAGTGTAGTGAATATAGTTTATAATAGAGTATTACACATTTGAAAC